GTGTATCGACTGAGTCTATTTACCGCAAGAGCCATATCAGGTCTGGTGTATTTCATTAAGAACATTAGACTTCCCATTAGTTTGGCATACTCTTCTTGAGACACACCCGTCTCAGTGTTTTTTTACAGTTTTACGCTCGGATCATAGGGAGTTTGTGCAGGAGTTACTTCGAAGCTATTAAACTTCCTTAATAGTTTCTTTGTATAGTGACCTTGTGATAGCTTGTAGTCATGCTCGGATTTTATGACTTTTACTCCAAGTATCACATCGGCCTCCCCCCATAGAAGTTCCATTGATGGAGTGGAAGTAGGTGGAGGAAAGGATGAGGATCAGAAGTGAAGAAGATATGAATCAAGAAGGAGAAGCCAGCGCAGAAATGGCGTCGTTCGACGGGGAAGTTATAAGCCGTTGAACTTAAGTGCTAAACGGCGTCGTTACAAACTAGCCGTTGCAAGTCTATGATTAGACGACGTCGTTCCCAGCCATCCTTCAGTTTAATTCCAATTTAATTCCTATTTTGTAGTCTTTAGAATAGGGATTTGTTATCTGAATAATCTGCTGGTATTTTAGCTTGGAATGGTTGTTGATGAGTTTCCTTGTGCGAAATATAGACTATATTTCCCTTTTCTCACTCTAAACTCTCTCAACCCTCAATTTCTACCTTTCCCTTCTTGTATTTCTGCTTTTGTTCCCAGTATATTGTAGTTGGCATCAGAGCCCAACAATGGATGAGCGTATCAAAAAGCTTGAAACTACAGTCATAGAGTTGAACAGCAAAATTGATACTCGATCGCAGGAGACTCAGGACTCCATCACTTACTCTCGAACCAGTTTAGAGCCTTGAAGGATGAGTTGCTCCAACTTCTAAGACTAAATTGACCGGCCCCACCTATCCTTGGAGCTTCCCCAGGGCAATCATCTGTACAAGGGCAATTTCCAGAGGCTGCTGAGCAGGTGGCTGGGGGTAGGCCGGATAAAGCCCCAATATAGGAAGCTGATGAGGGTGAAAGGCTGGATACTGATGAAGAGCCTCCTCTAGGGCTTGTGCTAAAGGATCGAACTAGAAGAGACTGGATCGACAGAGATGAGGTGAGACCAGGAGCTGTTGGGAAGGCTCATGAATTTCTCCTAAGGTATAAGAGCGAATTCCCTCCTTTTGATTACTCCTATCCCAGACAATGGATCATGATCAGGTGTGAAAAAATTTTCATACTTTCTCACATACCCCGGCAAGAAATTGTTAATTTGCTATACATTCATTTAACTGGGAAGGTTGGGATATGGTTTGAAAGTTATGTGCATGGTTTAAGGGGGGGTTTCCAGTGGCTTGCTTTTTCTGATGCTGTGTAAAAGGTTTGAGGATAGTGGGGTGTCTCTAATGGAAGATTTTGCCTCATTCAAACAAATAGGGACTGTTGATGATTATACTGATGAATATGAGGGGTTCAAGAGCATGTTGATGCAGGCACACCCTACCCTTACTAAAAACTACTTCCTACAAAACTATGTTGCTAGATTGAGACAGAACTTGAGGTGTTTTGTCAGAACTGCCAGGCCAAGGGGATTAGATGATGCCATATGGCTAACAAGGCAGTATGAAAAAGGTCTGAGGAGTATTGACAGTCCTAGAATTACCAACTGGAATCCCAGAACTTCCCAAAATACTAGAACCCTTAACCCCTACTCAAATCAACCATTCTCAGCCAATTCCAGTCCAAAACCCTCACCCTCCACTCAAACCACAGCCTCTAAAACCCCAGATATTAACCAGTTCAAAACCCAACTTAGGGATCAAAGGAGATGCTTTAAACACTTTGATCCCTGGCAACCAGGACACAAGTGTAAAGGGTCTACTTTCAATATTATAGAAGAATAGGAGGATTGGGAATCAGCTGATGCCTTGGTACAGGATGGGGAAGAAACAATTCAAGAAGGGACCGGGGTATCTCTATGTGCTGTTGTGGGAGGTGAAGGCCTGAATACTATTAAGTTACTGGGCTAATCCAAAAACAACCTGTGGTTATTTTGGTGGATAGTGGTAGCATACATAGCTTTTTAGACCCCAAGCTGTTGTGCCAGTTGAGAAGAGAACCAAAAAAGGTCAGTCCCTTAGTAGTAACTGTGGCTAATGGTGACAAGGTGGTGAGTGACTCTTTGTGCCTTGGCCTTAGTTGGCAGATCCAATAGGAATGTTTTGTGAAGGATTTCAGATTGCTTAGGCTTGGTGGTTGAGACATGGTATTAGGAATGGATTGGGTGGATCTGTATGCTCCTATCCAATTGCATACCAGGCCCCATAGCATTTCATTCCATAAGGAGGGCAGGAGAGTCTTACTCAAAGGACGGACTAAGAAGGGGGTATTAAAGGCAGCTTCTGATAAGCAAATAAAAAAGTGGCACAAGGATGGTGTACAAGAGTTTCTTGTACAATGTTATGGTTCCCCAATTGTTGAATTAGAAGTAACATTCTCCCTAAATATCACGAGAACCCAGGCTATACCCACACCCCCACTAAATCTCACCAGTACCTAAACTATGGACACACCCTTACTAAATTCTACTAGAACCCAAACTATAACCCCTGAACTATCCCAACTGCTACTGGAATTCCAAGATTTATTCCAGGAATCTGCCACCTTACCCCCACAAAGATCACTAGACTATACCATCCCCCTGATTCCAGGATCAAAACCTACCAACATTGGGCCTTACAGATACTCATTTGACCAGAAGAACGCTATTGAAAAAATGGTAGAGGATATGCTTGCAGCAGGGATCATTACCCCTAGTTCATCCTGTTTTGCTTCACCTGTGTTATTGGTGCCAAAAAAAGACAACTCCTAGAAGTTCTGCATTGATTACGGAGCCCTTAACAACATCACAATCAAGAATAAGTTCACGATTCCCTTGGCAGAAGACCTATTATCTTGGTGGAGTGGAAGAAGGTGGAGGAAAGGATGAGGATCAGAAGTGAAGAAGATATGAATCAGGAAGGAGAAGCCAGCGCATAAACGACGTCGTTCGAAGGGGAAGTTATAAGCCGTTGAACTTAAGTGCTAAACGACGTCGTTACAAACTAGCCGTTGTAAGTCTATGATCAGACAACGTCGTTCCCAGCCATCCTTCAGCAGTTTAATTCCTATTTTGTAGCCTTTAGAATAGGGATTTGTTATCTGAATAATCTGTTGGTATTTTAGCTTGGAATGGTTGTTGATGAGTTTCCTTATGCAAAATATAGACTCTATTTCCCTTTTTCTCACTCTAAACTCTCTCAACCCTCAATTTCTACCTTTCCCTTCTTGTATTTCTGCTTTTGTTCCCAGTATATTGCATAGCTGTTCTTATTGAAAGTTAAATTTGTAGCTTTGTGATTGTCAAGTCTTGATGATATGGGTGATGGGTTGTGCTCATTTCTCGTTTGTTGGAGTTGTTACTTGTTAGATAGATAGATAGATAGATACCCTCTGCTGCATGGTTTCCTTAATACAGGCTACTGTGTGTCTTTTGAAGTGGTTATTAGCTTATTGCATTCAAGAATATGTGTTTTTTTGAGTAGTTGGATAAGTTTTTGAACTTCTCTTAGTAATTTGATGATATTTTGATGATATGGGTTCTAATCATACAGGCTTTGGCCTTTTTGGGATAGTAATTTGTCTTCCTTGAATAAATTTAGCAGACATGGTCATAATATAATACGCTTACCATACTAATTCTCCATAAATAATATTGTGGATATACTACATACTATACAGATATTCACATTAAATCAAAATCCGCAAATTATATCATGCACCGCGCATCCAAACGACATCGTTTTGTTTAATGAAAAAAAAAATAGTATTTTCGCAAAAAATAACTCTGTTCTTCAGTTTATTTTGTATATACTACAGTTTCATTTCGATATAACTACAGTTTCATTCAATATTTGTACACTCAAATATGTGAAAATGTTATTTAAATTTATTTTATATACAGTATAGTTTCATTAAAACATAACTACATGATCATTTCAATATAATTACAGCTTCATTGTACAATATACGCTCAAATATGTGAAATGTTATTCAGTTTCATCATTTTATATATACTGTAGTTTCATTTCACCACAACTACAGTATCATTTTGATATAACTGCAGTTTCATTTGATAATTTTTAAAATAATACGTGAGACAGTGTCGATTTAGACACATTGTAGTGTCACTCCGTTATAACGGCAGAAACGATGCCATTTTGATGCGCGGTGCATAATCCAACGGTGCACGATATAACGACTGATCAAAATATCGATCAGCATGCTGATTTAATTTGGATATCTCTGTATGCAAATTTCATTAATAATGCAGGTCAGAAGCGTATCCAAATTCTACATTTGGTCAATGTGAAAGACGCGGGTAAACGCACATTTTCTAGCTCTCGAGAATCAATCCTTCAGCAAATGGAAGATATTGTTTAATTTGGTTGAAAGAGTTATGCACTACTATGAGATAGTGAAGATGATATTGCACAAACCTTCCCCTTATCTGCTTTCTGGATTTGACAATAAAGTTGTGAAAGTCTGGTGTTTATATTGCCTCACCTAATAGACAACTTAAATATTTAATTTTTTATACAATTTACAATTCTAGTTGTTTTTTTATATTAATATTTAATATTTCAATATTAACTATTAAATTATTAGATACACCGTAGTTTATAATTATCAAATCTTAAAAAAATTTAAAATTATTTTTTAAAAATCGGGCACCCGAAAACGCCTAACGATTTTTGCAACCTTGAGCTTCTGTAAGTTAGTGTAAGTTTGTATACATGATATAAAGAAATATGAAACTTTTAGGATGTTTAGGCTATGATTTAACTCTTCTCTTTGTAACTTTTAAGTAAATTCTTTTGAGTGATGAAGAAAATTCACAACCATTATTTGAGAGTGTAAATTTTAACCGGGTAAATCTCGCATTGCGACCTTAGCTGGCTAAGAACCACAAAGAGATAAACCAACCTATAGAATCAAGAAAATGTCAAACTTATAACTTTATAGTACACAAGTCAACGTTGTGAGCATAGGGAATGTTGGGTGATTGACTATTCTAACCACTTTTCGAAATGCACCTTTAGCTATTCCGGGTGGTGAGAAAGATTAACCTAGCTATTGTTCTAACTACTTGGTGAGGGAACAGATAAAATACAACACAAATTTCTAATTACCCAAACTAAGACCATAAATTATTCCAAAGGAAGTCTTCTCAAATCTATGAGGGAAGCTGAAAGGAAGGGAAGAGATGGGCATTTTGGCTTTCATTTCTTATCACTCAACTCTTTTATCTCAAGTTTTCAAATGCAATGCTCAGGGCTGTGCCAAGGAAAAACCGCCTTGCTGTTCTGCCTCACCAAGGGCGAAGAATTTGCAACATCTCGAAATGGTGATCTTTTAGGATCATTGTGTGTCTGTGCTTTTCTTCTTTCGCTAGGAGAAACCTCTATCTTCTCATTGTTACCCCGAATGTTATCCTTGAGACGTCTCAGAAGCATGCGTTTCTCCTTCTCAATCTGCTTCGCCAAAGAAATCGGTGCCACTTCCAAACTTCTCTCACCAATAGTCTTGCCCCTTCTGTCATCATCAACACCCTGGTTTTCCTTCCCTACCCGTTTTTCTTTCTCAATCTGTTTGCCTAGTGGAGCCTTGGGTGAATTCGGGGTTGATTTCGCCTCCCTGGTTTGACCATTGCCTTGCTTTGCCCTCAACTTTTCAACACTTTCTTTAGCTGCAGATAGTTGCATCTGCAGCTCTTTAACCTTGACTTCAGAGGACAATGCTGTTTCTTTCCATTCTTGCACCTGACAGACAGAAGCCAATAGAATACAATTCAGAATTTCATGCAAATCATTATAAACTTTTAAACAGAGAAAGAGACTCACTGTAGACTGCAGGGACTGGATTTCACGAGCAGATTCAAGAGCCCTGTCTTCCCAGAAATCACGAGAAGCTTGGAGTTCCTGCATCTCTTCCCTCACCTGCCCGAGCATTTCTTGCATTTGCGACCATTGTTCTGTCTCCGCTTTCACTTGCTCTACAATCCTGCGTACTATTGCTTTACAACGCCCAGAACATCTGTTCTCCTCCTCCTGCCAGAATCAGTAGTATTTCACATATCAGAGAAAACTGAAAAAGTTTCTTTAGTAAAAACACCTGTTTTTGTTCAGGGCTAATCAATGCTGTCTTACATAAAAACTGAACCAATTCACATTCACACCACTAATACAATCAGAACTGAAATGAATGCAAGTGAAGTAATGCCCAATCCAGCATTAAATACACCCTTGCTAACGCATTTACCATAACCATCAAAACCGACATTGCGTTTGGAAAGCAGGAAAATGACTTCTGGAGAATAGGTCATTTTACAAAAAACATTTTCCTTTTCCGTGTTTGGTTGCATTTTGGAAAACTTGATGTGTTTAGTTTATTTTCTGAAAAAATGAGTAGAATTATATGTTTAAACATTCTGGCGGAAAATGACTTCCCCCAAATTTTGACGGAAGTCATTTTCCGCCAAAATGGCTTCATTTTCCCCAGTCAACGGAAAATGCTTTCCGTTGACTGGATTTTCCTGTTGCATCCAAACACTAAAAACTCAGAAAACATTTTCCAGAAGTCATTTTCTGGGTTTCCAAACAGACTTAAAGACTTCAAACCGAAAGAGACAAAAGAAATCAAAATGCAGGAGAAAAAGAATGTAAATTTTCTTCTGGCAAAAACCCAACAGTATGCCTGTAACCATTGGTGATTGGTTAAAGTCTGCAGAAAATATCATAAATATATGATTGAATACATGGAGCTCTTGACATTTAATGATCTATAACCACCATTTTTGTGAAAGAATAACAACAATAAATTATGCAGTAACTATACTCACTGACTCACTCTAATAATGAAATGAAAGTAGTAGGAGTAAAAGGAATCAAGAAAGTGGTCCAAACAAAACAAGCACTGGTTTTGACTATGGGAAAGAGAACAGTAGCCAGAGTGAGTGGCAGACCGCGAAATGAATCATATTTGTACTTCAATTCAATATACCAAAGAAAAGAATGGTATCGTTTAAAACCTTTCGGTTCAGAATTCAGAAACAACCATGCTAATAACAAACCAATCAAGTACACTGCATAGCCTCGGCCTGCATGCACGACGTACAGAACTATTAAAGATACAAAGTACAGCCAAGAAAAAAATAAAATGAACAATTTGAAATAGCGATACAAATGAAAAATTTTGAAATGGAAAAATGCTATGCTATAACAGTGGACATTTCAAAACCAAAGAACTTTACCTGATGCAGTTGTCGAGTGGAGAAAGCCAATGGGTCAGAGAACTCCATTTGCTTGGAAGTGGAAGTGGCAGTAGAGACATTGGCTGTAGTACTAGAAATTATTGCTCCATATTCCTCCTCCATTCTATCTAACATGCATTTTGACAGTCCTTCCATTCTCCGTAATAACTCAACCTGCATTTCAGATCAAATCAAAGAACTGGAGAAAACACTAATACTAAGATACTAGCTAATATATGACATAAATCAATCTCGGGAATCTATGGGAAATGGGGTTTGAACTTTTTTTTTTTTGGGTCAGACCACGAGGTGTCCTGAGCAGGCCCTAACTATAGGAGACACCTTTAAGCCCGTACCATACTCAGACTACGAACTCCTGACCTCTCTTAAGGGACGAGAGTGCACGGCCACTCACGCCAACCAAGCTGGTTAATGGGGTTTGAACTTGAATCTCCCTAAGACCCTAAGACCCTAAGTCCCTAATCAAAAGCTTATTATGCAAAGTTATGGTGATAGAAGACTACTATACTGAGCTTTGGCCATTACTCACACAAATACTATAAACCAATAAACCATTGCTTGGTTTGCTTAAGAACTTGGACAATTAGTATTGGAATGCATACATACTTATCCACATTTCGTATATTTTGTTATCAGGCAACAAAAATAATATGCAAATTAAACAGAAGTGAAAATAGGAAGGCATGTCTAATTCTTACATCAGTGGATTTTTTGATGGTTTTGCAGCCAGAAGCCTCGATTTCGGGGAATTTTTGATCTGATAATCCACCCAGCTTTTCCAGCCTTCTTTGCAACAGGCTTGCTTGCTTATCAAAGTTGCTGCTGCATTTCGTGATTTCAAAATCCCTATTATTTTTCTTGGAGCTCCTTTTCAGCTCATCCAGCTTCTCTTCCAAATCCTCAATCTCTTCTTCCAGAATCGCATTGCCATTCTTTCCTTCATATATTTTCTTCTTTCCCTGTAATTAAATCAATTAGACCTAAATTCAATTCACAGCAAAGAATCAGAAATGTGAGATTAAGGGAAAGAGGGGTTAACAGAAATAAGGCTCTGAACTGCCGATCTGAGAGTGGTTTCCATTTGAACTCGATTTCTCTCCAGCTTCTTCAGAGCAAACTCTCTCTCCATTCTCAGGAAATTACACTCCGCCCTCAACATCTCCGCCTGAAACCGCCACTTCTCCTCCGCAAACGCCGCCGCCGCCGCCTCCCCGCCGTCCTCCTCCACTCGCTCCCTCCTATCGCTATCGCCACACGAAGCCGCGGAGTTGAGAACCACAATGGGAACAACCCCAGCCCTGGAGAACTCCCTCTCCTGGCCGAACAGCCTCTCCAGCTTCCCCTTGTAGTAGTACTCCTCATGCAGGAGCTCCATAGGGTTGAGCGAGTGGCGCCGCCACTTGTGGGCCGCGGAGGAGGAGGAGGAGGAAGGGGGCTTCTTCGCGGCCGTCTTGGGGCTCTTCCGGCGAGGCCTCCTGGGCAAGTGGATGATTTTTGGGGTGGGTGGCGGTGGCGCCGCCTGGTTCCATTTCATCCTTCTTGTCGAAGTAGTTGTAGGCACACCCGACGACATCTCTCTCTCTCTCTCTCTCTCTCTCTCTTTCTCTCTCTCGACTCTAGTCAAATACAGTACAGAGCAGAGATGAAGGTTTAATGGAAGTTTGAGCCTGTGTGTTCAGTAGAGCTGAGTGGTGGAATTTGAATTCAACGGTATGGACAGAGAAACTATAGGAAAAGAGGACCTCTATTTATATACCACACTAGGGACTAGGGACTAGGGACTAGGGACTGCTAAATATTTTGTCCAAAAAAAATTATACTCCTTTAACACATAATAAAGACACATTTTATTGTCCGCATATGTAGTTTAACTGGTCATAAAGATGAAAGTTAAAATGAATAACCAGAAATCGAGTCTCACCAGCCGCAGTGGGGGCCCATCTGATGATAAACTCATGAAATATAAAATAAAATAATAGTATTGACTCAGTAGAAAGTAATTTTATGACTTTGTTTGTGTTAGGGTTAAGTATTTGTCTTATTTATATAGCTATTATTTTTTTTAGGGAAAATGGCACCTTTTACCCCTGAGTTATATACTTATAGCACTTTTTCCCCCTCAATTATTTAGGTAAGCACATTAGCCCCCTCAATTATTCTAAAAGTGGTGTTTTTTCCCCCCTGATATATTAAATTGACATTTATACCCTTAAAGTAAACATTTTATTTATTTTACTACTCCAACAAATTATTGCGTATACGTAGGGATGACCACGGTTCGATTTGAATTGAACCGGATACTAAAGCAATCGAATTAATAGTTTACGGTTATAATTCAGATCTAGAACCCAATATTTAATGCCAATTTATTAAAATTATCTATCAAAAAAATTGAATCTTGAACCGTGAACCGGCGGTTCTGGATCTGATTCGCGATTTTGAACCGTCTTTATTTTAAAATTTTATTTTTTATTTTAAAATAGTCTAAATTCAATAATAAATGTATTTTATTTTTTCAGTTCGGAACATTAACCGTCCGTTCCGGTTCACGATTTTAATAAACTCTAAATATCGAATTTCGATTCTAAATTGTAATTGAAATATTTCTGTTTGGTTGCTATAGTGTTTGTTTAGTTTGAACCAAATTATGGTCATAATTTGTTGGAGAAAAAAAAAATTAAATATTTAGTTTAAGGGTAAATATGTCCATTTAACATTTTAGGGGGAAAAACAGTCACTTCAATAATTTAAGGGGAAAAAATGCTATAGGTATATAACTCAGAGGGAAAAAGTGTCATTTTCCCTTTTTTTCTTTTTTTTTTTTTTTTGTGAAGTTTAAGTTAAAAATGTATCAATGGGGAAGAAGAGTAGATGAAGTTGTTGGTATATATATAGTATATAGATATAGATTGCATGATTAGGGGCATAATGAGTTGACATTATTAATTACCTTAATTATTAATGAGGAATTTAATGATAACAATTATGCACAACTTATGCCTATACCTAGCTGCAACTTGCAATCAATCAATAGGGCAACAATAACGCAATTGGATAGTGGTTGAGTGGATGGAACATTATTCTTTTATTTCAAGGTTATGAGTTTAATTCTTGTCAATATTTTTTTGGTTGAGCTTGTAATTTAGTAATTTACATTTCTTGTATGGTTTGTAGGTTATTACATAGGAACAAGGTTTACCTAATGCACAGTACACATTTGGGTAGTAAGAATAGGTTTCTCTCGTCAATAATAATAATAATAATAATAATAATAATAATAATAATAATAATAATAATACAACTGAATTAATCCACCGATATAAATATTTTAAAAATTAAATTAAATTAAAATTTATTGAAATTAAATTGTATCAAATCAAAATAAGTCTTGTTTAAAATTGTCCATGTATAATTTTTCAATTAAAATGTAATATTTTTATATAGACTCATAATAAGTATGACATTTTAGCTATAAAAAATATTAGACGTCTACCTTATAATGTTTCACACAAGAACTAGTTTATCAAATTAAACAGAATCAGTACTTTGAGATATGTTTCAAAATTTTCTAATTGAGCTCTAAAGTAAGTTATTTTTTATTATTTTATTTTAATAATTAATATTGACTTTTTGAAGTATTTTTCATTAAAATATAAAAAAGGATAGTGAAACTTTATTAGTAGTTTTCAATTTATCAAGAAAAGTAAATAAACAAATAATAAAGGACAAATGTGGAATCACACAATTAAAGTTTATGGACTAAATAAACTCTCAAAATTTACATGTTAAGCTTTTTTTAGCACATAATATTTAATCTCTTTTTAATATGTTAAGATAAAATATATCTGTCAATTCGATATCAAAGTAAGCAAAAAGTTTTGTGCTCAATAAAAAATATTCAGTGCGCACATATATGAGTGATGTGTTGAGTATAAATATATAAAATACTCCGTAATAAATATGCAGTCATTTTTTAAAATATCAATTAAGATGAAACACATCTTTTAATTCTTTTCAATGTTGCTTTCCCATATGGGAGGTTGTGGATTCGAGCCTCAGTGGAGGCGGTATTAACCCTTTGTGCTTCAGTTGGTTAAGAAAGTAACGTAGTTATGAACATATATTGCATTATAACAGAGTTAGTAGTACTCCAAAAAAAAAAAAAAAAAAAAAAAAAAAAAAAAAAAACTTATCAATGTTGAGATCGGATTTTTAGGATTGGATAATAATAAAATTGATCAAAATCTCACCAAAATTTAAATTTTAGTATAAATAATAAGAAAATTTGCGGTGTTTATCAACAACAGTATTAGGTATAATCCATTTTTTTTTTAAAATCTTAGATTTGTACCGAATACTATGAAACTAATGTTCCGCAGTATCCACTAAAAACTTTAATGCACTTTTTATTCACTTTTGAGTTACATTCGATGTAAAAAATACTGATATCAATCAATACCATAAATTGTTCATAAATTTAATAATTCTTTTGAGCTTCACTCGGTGCAAGAAATTAAACATGGGTATCGACCAGTACCATAGAATTTCCATAAATATAATAATCTTATTAAAAAAGGGAAAATGGCACTTTTTCCCCCTATGTTATATACTTATAGCACTTTTTCCCCCTCAATTATTTATGTAAGCACATTAGCCCCCTCAATTATTTTAAAAGTGGTGGTTTTCTCCCCTAATATATTAAATTGACATTTCTACCCTTAAAGTAAACATTTTATTTATTTTACTTCTCCAACAAATTATTGCGTATATGTAGCAATTAAAGTTTATGGACTAAATATAGCAATCGAACCAGACACTATAGCAATCGAATTAAAAGTTTTCAGTTATGATTCAGATTTAGAACCCAATATTTGGATTTCAATTTATTAAATTTAAGAATTAAAAAAAAAAAACTGGATCATGAACCGGCAGTTCCGGATTCCGTTTGCGATTTTGAACCGTCTTTATTTTAAAATTTTATTTTTTATTTTAAAATAGTTTAAATTCAACTATAAATGTATTTTATTTTTTCAGTTTGGAACATGAACCGGCCATTCCAGTTCGCGATTTTAATAAACTCTAAATATCGCGTTTTGATTATAAATTGTAATTGGAATATTTTGGTTTGGTTACCATAGTATCTGGTTTGAACCAAATTATAGTAATAATTTATTGGAGAATAAAAATAAATGAAATATTTATTTTAAGGGTAAATATGTCCATTTAACATTTCAGGGGGAAAAAGAGCCACTTAAATAATTGAGGGGGAAAAAGTGCTATAAGTATATAACATAGGGGGAAAAAGTGCCATTTTTCCATTAAAAAATTAGCACAGCATACAAATATTTAGAATTTTGTTGTCACCAATAAGGCAATAACTCATTAATGTGACAATAAGTTAAATGAAATTTTGCAATGGCCAATAAGAGGGTACTGAATTTTATGGAAATGCGAGAATGGTGTGATTTTGTGAGTTGTAACTCGTACTGCCACCCTGCATTAATCTGCATAATGCACACCTACAACCATGTCCACATTTTGTTGTTACTTCAAGTTTATATTTTTCTTTTACTACTTCATACTATTCTCACCTACTCCAACCCCAAATAATTTACCCTTTCAATTTTGTCTTTATTTTTTCAATAATTCATGCACACTATTATTCACTTTTGAATCACAAAACACTAAATGTACTCACACAAAGTATAAATTTTTGCTACTTATTATCTTGATTTTATTGGAGAAGATTGAAAATAAAATGAATAAAAATAGTAACTCCTAATTTTAGTTTACTGCAACAATCACTACTGGAAATTATGGAATTTCCGACCGTCTAAAAGTGATCTTAAATCAAGTCGTAAGCAAAAAGTGGTCGGAAATAGCAATAAAGGTTTTTCCGGATATCAAATGTGGTCGGAACAAGGCTTTTAAATTGATTTAAGATCACTTTCAGGTGGTCGGAAATTTCATAATTTCCAACCGTGAATTAAAGCATGACACATCAATATGAAGTAATAAAAAAGTAAAAGTATATATGTATTTTTAAATACTTGGTCGTTTTGAATCTATTTTTTACAGCGCAAAATTAGTAGATGTCAACTTAATCATATGAATATTAATTGAACTAGCGTTGTGTGTTTTGAAATACTTGTGTTAGTTTAATTATATGATATTTTACTTTACTACAATTTTTTTTTATCAATTTTTATATAGAAAGAAACGTGATTTGTGATACTATGCTCTAAATTTCAAATTTTGGGCATTTAAATGGGTGGTCGAGTGGGCAGAGCATGATTTCCATACCTAAAAGTCACAAATTGAATTTTATTTTTCGTTAATATCCTTTTAATCAAACTCGTCACACAAAATTTTCTTAGTGTGATTTATTCCGTGCACAACCTCAAGTAGCGTCACTCAAAAAAATTCAAATAATTGAGGCAATTTGATTACTGAGGTAATAAAATTTTCATCATTTTGAGAGGAAAGAATTGTTTTTACCCTCAACCAAAGTGGATTGCTATTATGGGCAGGTACTACAACTGTGCCTCACCTGTTGAAGGAATTATTTAAATTCCAATGGATGAAGATTAGGTGGTGATCTGAAGTCAAATAGTTGATGCCAATTGGCAAATGTAGTGTGTAGCCTTAGATTAAAAAAGAATTCATTGGTTGCAATCTATCTACTACTAATCTTGGGAATTAC